TAGAACAAAGTGTCCTTGCATTGAGGGAGTACTTGAGTAGATGCCCAAATGTCCATCTGCTACCTTGATACTTAACATATAAATATATGTACATAGATCTATTTCCCTATCATTAGATATAAATATATTGACATATGCATATGCCTGTATTTAGATCTCTATAAATGTCTTGCCTCCTAGCTCTTTCCTCTATTTCCTTTTACTTTCCTCTTGTCGCACTATCATGTTCAGCTTTCATTTGGGTTTCAGTAATTCCTCTCAGTTATATTGCCCTTGATCAAGCCCAACCAGGCATCCTATGTCCTCTTTGCCATCGATTTTAGATCACTTGTTCCCTTGTCCCTGGGTTTGTTAACATCTACTTCCTTTCCTCCACCTCTCCCTCTCCGGTGTCCTCCTGGAACCACTGGTCCCATTGTTTTTTTCTCCAGATTGTTTATCCTGCCTATCTTATCCAGATAGACACGCAGAGACACAATACTAGGCACAAAAAAACGCCCTTAGCATTTCACCCCTGTGTTGCACACTGTTTATTAGCAATTTGATATAGAAAATGAGTTGGCATTTCACTCCTGTGTTGCACATTGTTTATTAACAATCTGATATAGAAAATGAGTTGGTATGTTACCATACAGTGATTGGATCTTCTTGAATTTCCTTATTTATAAATCATTATAGTGCTTGCGTCACACTAGAATTGATTTTCCTCATTCCAAGTTCCACAAAGAACAAAGAAAAGAAGGCTTTGTCCCTAGGAACATTAGCATGGTCTAAGAAAGTGATCAACCCAATTTTTTTTGTCTAAAACCGGTTTTATCAGAGAAACAAAGAACAATTTATACATCTGCAAGACGGAGTTTGGCTTTGGCCTGTATGTATAGATAAGATGTGTGTGTCGGTGTATGTACACATGCACAGGTTGTGCACAGGACGTAGCCCATCCCTACCATCCAGGGTAATACTTGGTGTATGAGTCTGGGTACATTAGAGAAACAAATCTACAGAAACTAATGTATAAGAGAGAGTTTTATATAAAGGTAAGTGAGCATCAAGAAAACGTCCCAACCCAGTGCTGCCCACGCCCACAAGTCCAACATTAACCCATTAACCCATATGTCTGACACCACTCCACAAAGTCCTCCTTCATTTCACAAAACACACACAATGATGCTGACTACAGGAGGAAAGCCAAATCAGTCAATGTGTAAGCATCTCAGTGCTGGCAGGGGTCTCCACACAGCTCCTGCAGCACCCAGGGCTGCATCGGGGTAGCTCCATGTGGCTTCTCCTTGGGGATGTCTTGCAGGAAGTGAGCCTTGCCAGCTAAAGCAGGGAACTGGCAAAGGCAGCTGCACCCTGGTCCAACCATCAGAAAGCAAGAGACCTGAGAACTAGAAAGGCGAGGCTCACGGAACGGTTTATCTCTCCACCCTTCAATTACTCCCAAATGTTTTTATCGGCCAGGTTGGCCCAAAGAACTAACTAACTCACTTGGAGAGTGCCAATGGAGTTCACTATAGAAAAAGGAAAAAAGAACAAGGGAGGGAAAAAAATATCTTCCTATAATGTCAGAACGTCATAGGGATACATTATAAGCACTATTTCAGGAAGTCAGTTTCTGAATATTATTTTTTTCTTCTTGCTTTTAAACATACATGTTTTAATTTTACAGCCATTATTTCCTCTCTGTATTATCTCTACAATAACTACCCCTCTAAAAATCTTCATTTTCCCCCTTCACAATGTTTGTACTCTTTCCTCTTCTCACTGGTAAGCACAATAATGACTTCTAATGTCATAGATGAATTCAGCCTGAGTTCAAACATTATACACAATCTGTATTCTCTGCCTGAGTTCTTTCAGGAGATAGCTTATTTTTTCAATTTATCAATGTTGTTTCATTTGTGTTAGTCTGGGTAGACTAGAGAAACAAATTCATAAGCACCCGTATGTGTAGAAGAAAGAACTTTCTATACAAGAGCAATTGAATATTGAGAAAACATCCCAGCCCAGTCCAGATCAAGTCCATAAGTCCAATAGCCCATATATCCAATACCAATCTATAAAGTCCTCTTTAGACTCACAGAATACATTCAATGATGCCGAATGCAGGAGGATCACAGGCCAGTGGGTTGGAAGTCATGTGGATCCAGTGCTGTTGTAAGCATCTCAGTGCTGGCAGGGGTTTCTACTTGGTTTCTCTGGTTGCATCAGGGTAGGTCCATGTGGCTTCTCCAGCTCCCAGGGTATAGCAGCCATGTGTCTTGTCAGAGGAACATTTCTCAGGGAGTGAGCAGAGAGAGAGAAAGAAGTGTCTCCTGCCTCCATGGAGGAAATACAGGAGTTTCAGAATTCTCAGGGGAAGGCCATGCCCACACAGAGGCCTTATTGGTTCTATCTTGATGGACAGGCCAGACTCCTCCCCTTCACTTGTAATCCTCTCAAATTGACACCAGATTATGTAACCACCACACATTTCATCATAGATTGTTCAATTTTGTGCTCTATATTGGTTCATTATATAAATATATAACCATTTAGTTTTCTATTCAACTGTCAATGGACCCAGGGTCTTTTCCTAAAACAGAGAATTGTAATAGCACTATGAACATTATTATATATGCTTTTTTGGGGCGTGTGGTGGTATTTACTAGCTTCTCTGATGTCATTCCCACTTAATATTCTTAATGAATTCACATTTATCTTCAAATTTGCTTTGATTTTCCATTCTATCTTATCTGATCATCTCCAAAAAAGTCAAACTTGCTGCTATTGAGTCAATTCTAATTCACAGCAACCCTATAGGACATGGTAGAGCTGCTCTTGTAGGTGTCTGGGCCTGTAAACTCTTTACTGGAGTATAAGAAACAGCAATAACAGGCTCCATGTAAGACTGGACAGTAGCAGGCTGTGTCAATCAGGGTAGACTAGAGATACAATTAATAAACACCCATATGTGTATAAGAAAGAGCTTTATATACAAGAGCAACTGAATATTGAGAAAACATCCCAGCCCAGTCCAGATCAAGTCCATAAGTCC